CATGTCTGCGTTTCCAACATCAATGGCCGTCAAATTTTCACAATAGAAGGTTTCGTTATAAGATTGAATTACAAAAAGGTCACTTGAGATTGCGGTCATTCTTAGCTCGTTTGGCGTTTTTGCATCTCGGGCAGTGCTCCCTGTCTGCACAACGCAATCGCAGAGTTTAGAAATCGAACGAAATATTTCGGGATGAGTCGGAAGGTATCTAAATATACCTGCCCGCAGGGCAGTCGCGGCTCACATTTTCTTTTCCTTCGAGCAGGTGCGACTGCAGTGATGGGAGACTCGTGTACTCGCCAAGTGAGATACTGGTTCCATGGATTTTTATACTTAAAGGCTATGGAGCTTTCAATGACAATACTTTCGTGTTGATACTGAAACTGTTGAATTAATAGCTATCAGCAATTAACTGATATATGAGCAGAAGGAGCGGAGATAAATTTTCGTTCAGTCTTCCCTGCTGATTCAAGCATAAAAATTTCACAGTCTGTGCCTTAAGTTGACATGGATTAAAAAAACGCAAATATTTAGGCCTAATTATAAGGCTAAGAAATTCTACCTGGGTAAAGAAGAAGGATACCTTCAATAAAGAGCGTATTGAAGCTAAGACAGGTTGAGTCATGTAAGTCAAACTTGGGCCTGATAATGGCCCGTATCCTAAATACTAAAATAGGGCACTAGCACTACGAAGTAGCACTACGCACTACGAAGTATCCTGTTGGTATGCTAAATACGTCACAGACACTAAGCACTTCGAAGTAGCTCTACAATGTTTAGTGTCGCACTACTGATTCGTATGCAGAAAGACTTTGAAGTGCTACGTCGCTGTTAGAGTACTTTATAGTGCCGCACTACGCTATTAGTCTATTGAAGAATGGTGGTTAAGTGCTCAAATAATTAATTACTGCCTAATTAATTCTCATTCTTTGCAGAAGATTGATGTAAAATGTCTAATTGTGATGGTAATGGTACTAGTGAAAATTGTGATGGTGAGCTGAAATTCGCAATGCGTCTGCGCACCTTCCCCATCATATATTCAAAGTCCACGCTTCCCAAAGACATTGAACAAAAGAGAGAAGCATGGAAAGTTATTGCAGAAGAATTCCAAATGACTCCAGAAAAAAAAAACAAAAAAGAAAATTCAGAACATGGTATCAAAAACAAGAAAAGTATTTTCTACTTCCGCTACAGGTAACAAACCAATTAAAGCGAAGGAATGGGAAAAGGAAATTAAGAACCAATTTGATTCAGGCGAAACTAATCCTGTGTTTCATGGGGTTCCAGGGGGTGTATGTAGTACCACCTACCCAACAAAAATCCCTGTACAACCACCTACACTGGTGGAAGAAGTGGTAGAACCGTCAGGTTGTCTGCCATCTGTTAGCTCATTTGTAAAACCGTCAGGTTGTCGGCCATCTGTACTCTCAGTAGAACCATCAAAGAAGAGAAAATTCAAATATGTGACACAGGACGAAGAAAGGATGAGCATTACCCAATTACAGAAACTGTACCTATTGGAATACATTGAAGAGTCCCGAGCTCGCCAGAAAGTCTCGGAACAAGAAGTGCGGTGTGTAGGACACTTCAGATTTTTGTAGTGCGTTTTATGCTTTTGGCCCTATTTAGCATAACCGTAGTGTTCCATGCCGCACTATGGCTTGTAGTGCGTAGTGCTACTTCATAGTGCTAGTGCCCTATTTAGCATGCCAACCGTAGTGTTCCATGTCGCACTACGGCTTGTAGTCGCACGCACTACGGCTTGTAGTCGCACGCACTACGGCTTGTAGTGCGTAGTGCTACTTCGTAGTGCTAGTGCCCTATTTAGGATACGGGCCATTAATTGGGTACTATGACCAAAAGGGCCATAATTTTGTGCCAATTTAACCGAAGGTTTTCCGTATTAACAAAAAAGTTATTGATGTAAAAATGTGAAAAAATTCCGTCCGCAAATTACTGATATTATCTACTTATATTTCAAATTTGAATAAAATCCGTTCATAATTGACGGATTTATGAGTGCCAGAGATTAAAATGAAGTTAGGTTTTCCGTATTAACAAAAAAGTTATTGATGTAAAAATATGAAAAAAATTCCGTCCGCAAATTACTGATATTATCTACTTATATTCCAAATTTGAATAAAAATCCGTTCATAATTGACGGATTTATGAGTGCCAGAGTTGAAAATGAAGTTGGGTTTTGCATTCGAGCTCGCAGGCGAGTTCGCTGAAGTGTCGAATCGGTGCCAATTAACGAGGTGATAGCAGTATGTTACGCTATTTATTTTCCAAAGTCCCAACACGGAACCGGTCGGACAAAAGCGCGTGGGCGTTAGCGTGGGTTACAGCGTGGGCCAGCCCGGCCCTGCACCTGCCCTATACCAGCTCTCCCTTTAGCCACGTTTTATTCCCTCAATTCGTAACTAAAAATTATGAAATTTAATATATGCTTTCACATGCTTATTGCGCAGTTGCGACGATTTTTTTTATAATTTTAACTCATCTACTTTGCAAATAAAACGGTAAAACGGGTGCAAACGGGCAAATTCCGTCACGTAGCCACGTTTTATTCCCTCAATTCGTAATCAATAATTATGAAATTTAATATATGCTTCCACATGCTTATTGCGCACTCGCGACGATTTTTTTTATAATTTTAACTCATCTACTTTGTAAATAAAACGGTAAAACGGGTGCAAACGGGCAAATTCCGTCACGTAGCCACGTTTTATTCCCTCAATTCGTAACCAATAATTATGAAATTTAATACATGGTTTCACATGCTTGTTGCGCAGTCGCGACGATTTTTGTTATATTTTTATACCCTCCCGCTTTCAATTGGAATAGCAAATTTGATTTTCTCCTCCAGTCAAACGCTCTGCTTGGGCAGTTACGAGCACCGTTCGTGTTTCGTGAACATTACCATTTAGATTTTATCTGATTCCCTCAGTTTACGGCGCGCACTTCAAACTGATTAGAATCGCTCCATTCCCTGGATATTTGCGAACAAGTGTAAGTTTTTACAATTACATTCCTGATTACGACAGTGGGCGAATTTAAATAATAATGAAGAGGTTCTTTCATTTGCAGGATGATGTGTTAAATACACTAGTGAGTTGTGACGAAGGTTGAATTGACAGACAGTTAGTACCATTTCAATTCTAAATCTACTGGCAACTGCCGAATTTGTTTTGCGACTAATATTTCATGTATCTTATTACTGGTATGTCCGATGAAATAACTGTCAGGCATCAAATCACTCCATTGCAGTGATTGCACCAACGTTGCCTAAACTTGCCTGGTTGCCATAGCACTTTTGTTGCCAGCTTCCAAAAGAAGGCTTAAGAAGCTATTTATTAAAAATATTGCACAACTCTCTAGCATCTAAAATCTAAATTATTAATAAAAAATTTCCATTCTAAACAGTATTATGCAGTTGTCATTGATGAGCTGTGAAAAAAAAAGCAGTCTCTGCTGGTCACTGGTAACTCATGTCTTGTCAGTCATGTGTCATTGACATTTGACAAGCTAAGTCTTGTAACAGGCTGTCAGCCATGTGGAATTATGGGCTAATGGCTGGCTGAGGCTCATATATTTAAGATTGATCCATGTCTGTACCTTCTTTTCATTAGAAATCTTTTCAAACTCCTAAATTGAAGTATAATTTAATTTTTATCAAATTTGAAGTCTACCCAATAATTGTTTAGCTGCTACAAATAACTACAATTATACTAAGATATTACTTAGTTATTACCTATTCCTCTAGAATAACACTGTCACTAGAGGGCAGCGTATGGTTTTGGTCAATAAGTTGTGCTTCCAGCATCACCTTTGGTTGTTGTCCATGAACAAACTCTTGGTTCTAATTATCTGGTTGTATCTTCATCCTAATTGCCTCAAGTTTTTAATAAATAAGTTATTCCAAATGTAGGAAATTAAGTTTAGAGATTGCCCAGCCTAAGTGAATGTAATATGTTACTAGCCAATTGTGCTCATTCAGACCTACTTAGCAGTGCTCATTGATAGTGTTGGATCTTCTGCAATTGCAATTCAATTATATCACTGTTCAACAAAATTGGTACTTCACAGTTTACTGGCATGGCAAGCTTCTGCCAGATCTGTCAGGAAATGAAGAACAGTACTTGACTTGTTTATGTATAGTCAGCCTTGCTAAGTTGCTTGCTGATGCTTGTATCACGCTTTTTAGAGTCCAAAAGTTGGATTTTATGTGTGGTATGGCCTCTGCTTCAGAAAAAATGTCATAGCCTGCTCCCTGCTGTACTGAGCTTCCCATGCACACATCACACGATAGAAGTCCTGCTGCCTGATGCTTTTTCAGTCTGATTTGGGCAACTGTCAGGTCCTGACATTCCGTTTTTCAACTGTTTTAGGGATTTGTTGAGTCAGTTAAATAATAAGCAGCCTTTTAATAGTTCTCCACAAGTCATAGCTTCACATGAACTTCAATCATTCGAATTATTTGCTGCCTTCCTTCTATACTGGGTAAAACTATGTTGCCAAAGCATTTTCAACTTGATAAAAGGGTAAAACTATGTTGCCAAAGCATTTTCAACTTGATGCAAGTAATGACAGCTAATGATATTTAATTTCATCATCATAAAATTATTTATTTAATATATCTTATTTGCAGATCATCATCAATGTACGTACATGCACTCGTGCTGGAGAATGGGAAGACCTCCATCTTCTTTCCTGCTGCACAGCCATTGATTGAAAGTAATTGAGAAAAACCTGCAAGCCTCAACATTTATATAGAAATGTTGAAGAAATTAATATTTAATAGCTTATGTGTTTCTATCAATATTTCTAGTGTATACTCAGTTCTCCTAATACCCGTTGAAGTATATTTGAAGATTTTTTATGATAGCATTCTCACAATGTTTGTGTTAATTGAAATAAAATATTAGACATTACTTTTCATGCAATGTTTTGGTTAATATTACATATCCATTATAATTTAGGTACGAAGAAAATACCAAGCCACTAAACATTGTCAATTTGTCATTATCAAAAACATTACTTGGCCCAGGGCCAGCATCAGGTTAAACAATTATTACAAATTTCAGTAACAATAACCAGTGAGAATCTGTATGTCAATATTGAGTGTTCTATATTCAATCTGGTTTGGAGGCTTACCTAGAGACTTCTATAATTATTGCCGATCCTCTACATTCTACATTTACATGCTTATTTTTTAACTAATTTTATTAATTTAACTAAATTTTAAATTTTAACTATTAATTTAACTAAAGTAAAATTTCCTAGAATGAACACTGCAAAGTAAAGTTTAACTTTAAAAATGTATGCAAATAACTTAGTTTAGCAATTATCAAAACGCCAATTTAAAACACTTCTCTTTACAACTGGGAAGAATAATTAACTTCATTTGAAGACAATTTAAATTAAAGTATGAATGCAGACATGAAATAGCGAGAAATAAGAGGTGTCAATTGTGCCATAGCTTTCTTCTTAATATTGCCATGTTGATATGGTGCCTGACGCTCCTGAAGTGTGCAGCCTTCAGGGACCACAGTTCCTTTGACAATCTGCAAATATAATTGCACATGAGAATAAGCTGACAGTTTAAATAATAAATTAATCGAGCACAATCAATATTGAAACATTTAAAATATTAAAATACGAGAGGAATTTTATTTTTATAGCATGTAGTGTAATTAAATAAAAGCCAAATTTATTTTCATTTGTAGAAATTCATGCTTTTGTTTGTGAATGGAATGTATGTTTTTCTTTGTATAATAAATGATTGGCTTGGAATACTCTGAAAGAGAGATGGCTGCCTACATTTTTAAATTAATGCCTGTGAATCATAAGCATCAAGACTATAGTTTCCATAAGCTAAATTCTTCATGAAATGCATGTTGAATGTAAAAATATTGAATGAAGCTTATACATGATTTGATGAACTCTGTCTCTTCTCATCATAACGTAAAAATAAGTTAGCAAACGATTCTTGACATATTATGGTCCTGTGCTACAAATGAAGTTGAAGCACAGTTAAATATCAAAAATAAATATGAACCAAATTTTGCCTCATGACTACATTACTGTCATGACAAGTATAAGTCTGAAATAACATTGAGACCACATTGTTACTTAAAGAGGCTATAGATTTAAGAAGTAAAAAGTCATTTAATACATAAATCACAAAGAAAATCGTTCATACATAATTTTTAACTATTATTGCTGTTATATACGGCCTGTTATGGCAAGAAGCATGTACGAAGGATAGTGGCAGTAATGTTGTCATTTGTAAAACATTTCATTAAGAGGGTTTTCAAGTTTATTCATTGAGGTATCATAGGAAGCTGCGCAGTTACTTCTAACAAGTTAATAGATATCACTTAAAAAAACTTAAATTTTACAGTGATCACTCATTTTTTTCCCCACTTGTATTTGTAACAGGGATTCTCAATATAATATTGTGAAAATACATTTAAATGTCATCAAATACTCCTACAATTGTTGATTAGTTGCAATGATTTACTTTACTCTAAAGAGAGTAAATACAGTATACTGAAGAGATCAGGAGATCTTTATTCCTTGATGAGTTAACAAATCTTTCCTGCTAGACCCAATCATTCCAATATCATTCACAAGATGCAAAGCAATTTCATATGAATAAGATTAAAATTGAACAAAAGTGTGGACCACCCACCATAAAGAGGAATATACTTGAAGCAGTATTAGGCTGTCTCATCTTCCTTGGAATAGTCCTGAGTGCTAGTTTCATTTTGCCTCATGATGAAACATCCTGTTTTAATCCAAATGCATCTTGATAAGAGAAGTATACATACCCTGAAAAATAAAAAATGTTATTAAAAATATGCAACATAGAGATCAATGGAAAATATTTGCAAGTAATGAACAACTGCAGCGATGGGGAATTTCAATTTTTTCTGCTGCTGTTGCCATTTTGTGTCTTGTGCAGGAGGTGAGATGTACTTGTCATTTGTTGGCATTTGACTATCACAACTACTTGATTTAATGTGAAACTAATGTAGTAGTAATCATAATTTTAACAATCAAAGTTAAATCTAGGTTGCATAGTCTATTAAAAAAGTGTAATAATGTCAATGACACTTGACACATGAGTTGCTGCTCAGCAGCACGCATGGAAAACTTTTACCATTAGGTCTGCCACTAGAGCTTACCTGCCATTTTCGGAATTGCAAGATTTCCGTCAGATTAATTACCTACTATGTAATTATTACGAAAAGTGCACAATTGGGAGCGCAAGATTTCAAATGTATTGAAAATTGGTCATGTTGGAGCCGCAAGATTTTAGAAACAAGCAGGAAAATTGCAATTTAGCTCAGCAGACAGGGTGCAGACACTCAGACAGTGGGTGAATATCAAAAGATATTTGTGATGCATCAGCAGCAAAATTTACACCTTCTGAAGATATTGCCAACACATTTGGATTGTAATTATGACATTTTCGAAATTACTGTAAATCTGAAAGACTGCAAGCACACACAGTAAGGTTTCCGGTATGCCAGATGGATCAGAATGCAGTGAAGCTTGTCCGGCAATCAGTTGCAATGTGTGTAGGCTAAATGTTGCCATGCATGGAGAATAAGGGAGTTAAAGTAGCTTGCATCACTTTCTTATTAAAAATTACATGGCGACAGTTCTTGAAAATTGCTGGCAATGCTTTGGGCTAAAAACCATATTGTGGCAAGGCTGCTTGCGCCTTGCACCCTCTGCACCCTGGCAGGCATCATGGCATGGAGGCCTTGTGGCAGGCTGGCTTAGCAGCAGTCTAACAGAGACTGCATTTAATTCACAGCTCATCAATGACAACTGCATGATACTGTTTAGAATTGAAATTTATCATCATTAATTTAGATGCTAGAGAGTTTTGCAATATTTTTAATAAATAGCTTCTTAAGCCTTCTTTTGGAAGCTGGCAACAAAAGTGCTATGGCAACCAGCCTACCAGGCAAGTTGAGGCAACGTTGGTGCAATCACTGCAATGGAGTGATTTGATGCCTGACAGTTATTCAATCGGACATACCAGTAATAAGATACATGAAATATTAGTCGCAAAAACAAATTCGGCAGTTGGCAACTTGGCAGTAGATTTAGAATTGAAATGGTACTAACTGTCTGTCAATTCAACCTTCGTCACAACTCACTAGTGTATTTAATACATTATCCTGCAAATGAAAGTACCTCTTCATTATTATTTAAATTCGCCCACTGTCGTAATCAGGAATGTAATTGTAAAAACTTACACTTGTTCGCAAATATCCAGGGAATGGAGCGATGCTAATCAGTTTGAAGTTCTTCTTCTTTTCGGGGTGTCTACACCTGTCTCTTATACACATCTAGATGTGTATAAGAGACAGCAATAAGCATGTGAAACCATATATTAAATTTCATAATTATTGATTACGAATTGAGGGAATAAAACGTGGCTACGTGACGGAATTTGCCCGTTTGCACCCGTTTTACCGTTTTATTTGCAAAGTAGATGAGTTAAAATTATAAAAAAAATCGTCGCGACTGCGCAATAAGCATGTGAAAGCATATATTAAATTTCATAATTATTGGTTACGAATTGAGGGAATAAAACGTGGCTACGGGACGAAATTTGCCCGTTTGCACCCGTTTGACCGTTTTATTTGCAAAGTAGATGAGTTAAAATTATAAAAAAAATCGTCGCGACTGCGCAATAAGCATATGAAACCATGTATTAAATTTCATAATTATTGGTTACGAATTGAGGGAATAAAACGTGGCTAAAGGGAGAGCTGGTATAGGGCAGGTTCAGGGCCGGGCTGGCCCACGCTGTAACCCACGCTAACGCCCACGCGCTTTTGTCCGACCGGTCAACACGGATAGAAATTATTATTTACAATGTGCACGATCATAGGAGAAGAAACAATAGCAGCAACCTTCTTAGTTGAGAGACTTGCTTCTCCCGCAAACGTTGAGGAAAGTAGACGTAGTCGTCGTGAAAATGACTCGCGTCTTTTAATTTCTGGACTGGGATTTTTGTTATATTAGGTGCCGGCCGCAGTCGTTAAAATTATTTTCTTCGACATCACGAAAATAAGCAGTGTTGTTGTCATTTCAAGATTCAATTATTGAACCTTTCGATTGAATAAACAAAAATAAATATGAAATAACATTCATAATAAGTATCGAAAAAATTTAAAAGTATTTGAATTATTTCTGCTTGTTAATATACGTAAAATAAATCAAAGTAAAATCAACCTCGATAAATACAGGCCTAACAATGATGTGAAAGTAATTTAACCTTAATCATTAGGTTTCGGGTATTACGAGGAGTTTGAAGCATATGGAATGAATTTTATTTCGTTGTCATATTTGTACGACCGTATTTGTATCAGGAATTTACGTGTGGTACACTAGGGGCCCGCGCAATAACTTTTTGTGTGCAATTCTCCCCGCTCCCGCGCGATTGTGTCAAATGTACCTCTCGTCTGCGAGGACAGAACATTATTACCTTGGCTTGGGGACTTGGGCCTAGCCTGGGTTTCTCATTCTGAGTTCCTTGTGGTCGCCTTTTCGTACAAGTTCTTTATGGAAGTGAATTTACAATAACTATCTGCTTATATTTCATTGGTTCGCTTCATCGCTTGTAGTTTGAACTGAAACTCTGTAACTGCATTTCCATCGAAAGTTGCAACAACACTGTCATTAGTCAATGACGTTGACAATTGTCAATGTCATTTTGTGGCAACTGCATAGTCTCAGAGCAGAGATTTTTTAGACTCTTCCTCAAGTTCATTTTTTATTCTAAGTAGACCACTGCGCGATTGCAGTATCATAGCTAGGTACCAGCGTTATGATAAATAAGAAATTTGTCTAGATCTGTGGTTCCCAAACTTTTTCAGGCTGACCGCCCGGTGCCCCCTTTAGCTCCCCAGTGAATCTCTAGCGCCCCCCCCCCAACAGACACGTATTCTTGATATTTAGTATGCTATAATTTTAAAAGATAAAGGTTAGCTAAACACAAATGTGTACCTACCTTTTTCACAAATGGAACCCCATTTAGTTGATCAATATATTTTTTTACAGTTTTAACTGTTTCAACACCAGAAATTCAATATGGCTCAGACAAATTTATGGCTGGCGCTGGACTTGTGGCCTGTCTTGCACTTGCAGCAGGTCTCAATTCTCATGCTGTTGTGCACCAGTCTCCAAAGACTCCAAATACAGCGACACAGGAATATCTCCCAAACTAAATCCAGTAATCCAGGCTGTAGAGTATGGCCTTTCAGCTCGAGATATTGGCGTCTTTTCAAGCTCTCCATCAGCCACATCGACCTCAAATCGGCATTATCGGCGTCCATGGCCGATCATAAACTATGGCAGTATGGCTCAGGCAGCCATAACTGATAAACTATAGATTGCTCGATCCATAGTGGCAAAGCAGAAAGTTTTTATTATATAAGTAGACCAGTAAAGTATCCTGGATACCATCATTATCATACTTAAGAAATTGGTTTGAATCTTGACTAAATGAGACTAAATGAAGAAATTGAAAATGAACTGATTCCAAAAAAGCTCTGGTTTGCCACTATGGCTCGATCAGCCCTGCTGTCACCGGCTCACCGCGCCCATCTTCAGCGTGTTTGATTGCTTGTATCTGTCACCCGATCACAATGTGCATAGGTCTGGCAAGTGGCGCAAGCCCAATGCTACTGCTGAAAAAAACTTGTCAATCTATTGTGTTCTAACGCAATCTATTGGGTTCTAATGCGATCTATTGTGTTCTAACGTGATCTATTGTGCTCTAACACGATCTATTGTGTTCTAACGTGATCTATTGTGTTCTAATGTGATCTATTGCAATCTACCGTGATATATTGCGTTCTAACGCAATCTATTGTGTTCTAACGCAATCTATTGTGTTCTAATGTGTTCTATTGTTTTCTAACATGATCTATTGCGTTCTAACGCAATCTATTGTGTTCTAACGCAATCTATTGTGTTCTAATGTGATCTATTGTGTTCTAACATGTTCTATTGTTGTCTCTTATACACATCTAGATGTGTATAAGAGACAGGGGTAAACGCGGCGCAGATCACAGTTTAGAAGCGTTTATCCGAGTTAGGCAGTTACACGTTCAACACAAAACCATCTCGTGGCAAGAGCTGCGTAACATGCTTCAGAGCTCCGCCCGCATGTAAATCTCTCTAAAAACAAGCTCTATTATCAACCTGCTGATGCTCGAAGACACCTCGTCCGTTAGCGGGAATTCCGCTAACTAAACATAAAGCAAAACCAACTATTATTAAACAGAGAAATTTAAAAATAAAGATAAATATCCAAAATCATTCTTTGATGTACGTCTAGCGTGAGACAGGCTATATACAGAAAGGTTTAATCCAACCCAACAACAGCAAGACTTGCTTTATATGTAGTACACATAGGGAAACTATCTCATGACTAAAATAAACATCCAATTGTGCGTACGTAATTGGTGCGCACAATAAAAATGATGGGTGTGACTCAGTCAATACGAGTCGTCATTGCGCTGGCATAAAGGAAAACGCGACCGGCATCCGCGGCTGTGATTAAAGCCTTTGAACTTGAAATTCAAGGCTTGGTTTCTGGAATTTTTTTGCAACATTTTGGCTCATTTGCGACAATAGGAACAGCCGGCCATCCGTCCTTC